TGGCTCGACTTGGATACATTGTCGACCTTATATAATATGATCCCATTAACCCTCACTCGCATATTTGATCGAAGATGCTTGAGTGCTTTTAATTGCATCCCATGAACCTTTAACCCAATTCGACCGAGTCTTCGTTGAAGCATGATATGGAGGATAAAAACCGAAAATGGTATGAGATGCAAAATAATTGACAGAAGCAGAAGCAAAAGTAGAAGACGAAGATGTCGATGATGATTTCTTGGCCTTTGTGTATTTGGCCTTTCCTTGTTCCCATTCTTCACTTTCTTCCGTTGTCGTTAAATATGGTTTCCCATTTGCTTTGTAATTTCGGAGGTAGGGAGAAATGTCGATATAAAGATCGACGGGTGTAATCTCGTAACACATAGGGACCGATAGTTGATGCTGATTCCATTGTTCAATGTAGACAACATGCTTCCTCGGCCAATTGTCTTTATGATTCTCACGCGCATCAATTCTATGGAGCGCGTCCATATCAAATATTTGCGTAGGAATCGGTTGATGAGACCCAAACTGTCACAACACTCTATATGCAGGAGTATTTCAACAATCGCAAAGTGTAGTAAAGGCGTAACGACACACACAACTCTGATCCTTCAAAAACTCTCGGTGGTAGTAACCGAAAGATCTCATCGTCATAATACGACATCCAAGAAAACTATAAATATTAATAATAAAAGTTAGTATAAATAAAGTCAAAAAATATAATTAAATTTTAATAATTAAAAACTTTAATATTTACCGCATGTTAACCGACGATATCGATTCTCATTTGTATATCTTTCAACAATCGCAAAGTGTAGTAAAGGCATAACGACACCCACAACTCTTATCCTTCAAAAAATCTCGGTGGTAGTAACCGGAAGATCTCATCGTCATAATACATCATCCAAGAAAACTATAAATATTAATAGTAAAAGTTAGTATAAATAAAGTGAAAAAATATAATTAAATTTTAATAATCAAAATAATTAATATCTACCGCATGTTAACCGATGATATCGATTCTCATTTGTATATCTTTTTTAGTTGTCGACAACTTGATCTTGGTAAATTTGTGTTGCCATCTAAAGAATATAAAAAATAAAAATAAAGCATTCCAAAAAATAAATTTAAAAATTTACTAAAAAATAATGTTAAAAAATTACCTTGCAGCGGGAGGAAACTCAGCTGAGGCTATTTTAATTGGCATAAAAAATGGGAACTAGTATCATGTCCACAATTGTAGCAAGACTAGACAACCCATTACATCCGTTTTTTGACCTCGTTCAACGATTATAGCCTTACAAAGTTTTCAGTATAAAAAATCCAAAATGGCCGATCCCCAACTAGTGTTGCGACAATCAGTAAAATTCTCCAATATCGAAATATATTGAATGTGCGCCAAATTACCAGATTTATCCGATAACAATATTCCTCCAATCAATTGGAGCAAATACGCTCGGGCTGCAAAAATCACCTCATCCTCGGTAGAGTCGTTTGTCACATTAAATTCGACTCCAACCAAGTGATCTGTATCAGTTGAAATCGTTGTGCCTCACTAGTGTTGCACCATTAACTAGAACACCTAGTTGGTAAGTGAAATTTTCCCATGTAATTTTCACTTCATATCTCGGAAAATGGAAAGTATGCATCTCTGGTCTCCAACATTCAATCAGAGCCATGATCAATGATGGGTTCACCCTAAAACTGCACAGAAATGTCACTGGATACAACCCAAATTTTTGCAAATATATAATAATTCGTTGATGCAGATCTCTGAGACTTATCCTCGTTGACGAACGCTCATTTCTTCTTCCGGACTGAGCTCGATCGAAGAAATATTGACAACATGGAGGCATAACATTTAATTGCGGGTAGCCATTTTTCAAAACCAAACCCCTATTTATAACCCAAACCCAACTACTATTGAGGTGACGAGTTCCATATTGATCATTGTAATCTGACCATTGCAGTTGCCCATTGTGCAACGACTACAAGTGGCTAGTTTTTTTTTAATTCAAGGAAAGCTAATGGCCTAGACGTGACGAGTTTGTTTGGTTTTTCTTAATTTTTTTCTTTATTTAAATTATTGAATATATATTAAAAAATTCTCAATGGATTCATTATCTTAGCGTGACGAGTTCCTGTGAAAATATTAAAGTATTGGTCCACAAGGAACCCACAAACATGAGACCATCAAAAAATATTTTTAAGCAAACTCATCACCTCAATGTGACGAGTTTGCGCTTTACTGTAGAAAATGTCTTAAATTTCAAATTAACAAATCAGATGGCCTATTGGGCCAAATAATTTACCCGTGTGAGTATTGGGCCAAACAAAACTTCGTCAGGCTAATTCGACCCAAACTCTATGTAATACCCCAAATATCAGGTCAGTGACTATATTGAAAGGATTTAAAAATTCAGAGGATTAAATCAAATAAATGGCAAAGTATAAGAAAATGATTTAGAAATTGTGTTTAAGGCCAATTAGTAAGAATGGTCTCTTTAAAGGGAAATTGATTTAAAATTCATTTTAATTAGGGTATTAAAGAAAAGGGGAAAAGTGAAAGTTAGTTGGGTTAAGTAATATTAAGTTTAAGGGTATTGTTTGAGGTAAAAGTAAGAGAATTAAACGAAAATTTGGTGAAAATCAAGCTGAAAAATGGAAAATCTGGGTAGGGGTATTGGTACTGGAAGAACAATACCGATACTATAGGTTTAAATTTGAAGAATTACAATGAACAATATTGATACTGATGAAATTAATATCGATACTGATGTGGGTATCGATACTAAGAGAATGGTATCAATACCATGTATTCCAGAATGTAGGAATGGTATTGATACTGAAAGGGAGTATCGGTACCATAATATAAAAGTATCGATACCATGGTAGGGGTACGATACTATTGAGCCTGGAATTGTAAGATAAGCTGAAATTGTAATAGAAATTGATAATAATAGTACTTTTGAGTATTATTAAAGTATAAATGGTAAGAAATATACTAACATTGATATGGTATGTGTATTTAATGGATGCTTGTATAGATCATAACCAAGCTCCTGAGTCTAGCAAGAACAAGGGTAAAGATAAAGTTGTCGAAAAGTCAGACATCGTTATAGCTTATTAGAGAGGCTTATCATGTGAGTGCATTTATAGTATTTGTATGAAAGGAGGAAGACTCGTGATGAGTCAATTTTGAATGTTTTGTTAAATGTATATTTTACAATATTTTGGTATATTTTCATAATGTATATAGAAATGATATTATGAATAAGTTTTAGAGTATGAATTGCTCTAAAATGAATGGATGAATATCAATGTTGTGCTATGGTTATCGATCTTACCGAAATAAATGAAAATGCATAAAGGTGCATTATTGGAAGAAAGGTACCATAAATGAAAATGCATAACGGTGCATTATTGACAGAAATGTGCCATAAATGAAAATGCATAACAGTGCATTATTAGCATGAATGTGTCATAAATGAAAATGAATAACAATGCATTACTGGGAGAAAGGTGCCACTCATGGTATTCATAAAAGGTGAATGACCATTTCGACACTTCAGTGCAATGTATATACCTTAAATTCTTATTTAACATATATTGGTCAAAATAAAGTATAATTGGAAAACAAATACAGAAAAATAAGTATGATGTGCATACTAAGAATGGTTTTGATGACTATATGAAATAAACCTGGTTTTAATTGAGATGATTAACTAATTTTTATGAAGTATACGATTTAGTTCGTATTTCAATAGCCATAATATGATTATGTGTGAATTTTTAGTTCATTTATATTATTATGCCTCACATAGTAAATACTTAATGTGTCTTGATTTCACGCGTAGGTAAAAGTAAAGACTTAGCAGAGTAAGGAGTGCAACAGAGAACATCAATCCAACGTTGACTAATCACTATAGGAAAATCAGGTCTTCTTTTGATAATTAGATGTCATGTATATGAATAAAAGGAAAATGCTCTGTAATGTATTTAAGTTATAACTTTGTAATAGTTTACAAATAATGTTTTAACTTATATTAAAAATGTTTTTTTAAAAAGTAATGTGACACTTGTGACTTGTGTACGGGAACGTATACAGGAAATGGGTGTTACATTTATTGGTATCAGAGCTACATGTTTAGATGATTCTCGACCGAAACTGATTTTATTTGAATTTTGAAAAAGGTATTACATGTCATTATGATTGTCAAGGTTACTGATATGGTGTCATTAGAGTGTGATTGATGACACTCCTTACTAACTTTAGTGTTATTATTATGTATGTCCCATTAGATGTCGGAATCTTTGAACTCGCAAAGAGCAGCGCAACAAGAAATTAGAGAAGGAACTAGTAGCGAATGTTACGAGGCTAATAATGAGCAGCCGATTCCATTAGAAAATGCTACTGCGTCTGCACATTAGGGGATATTGATGCCTAAGTTTGGAGATTTTATACAAGCTCTCGACGTCATATTAACCCAATTTCAGCCTCCTCCACCTCCCCCTGCTCCTCCAGCACCGAGGATGTTGATCCCAAAAGAGCTGAAGAGTTTGGGAGCTCCAGAGTTTCGGGGAGAAGAGGATGAGGTCCTATAGAGGTTGACTTATGGTTAAATGATGTTATGGTAATGCTTGAAAGTCTTAAATGCTCAGATTCGGAAAAGCTTGGTGGAGTTATACCTTTACTTAAGGGATCATCTCTAGTATGGTGGTCAAATACTACGATGTATGCACCACTAGAACAAGTGACCTGATAGTTATTCCTGGAGGAATTCAAGAACAAGTATATGGGTGAGCAGTTTAGATGGGCGATGTTGCTAAAGTTCCTTAATTTGAAACAAGGTGATCGAGCCGTACATGAGTTCGAGGTTGAGTACAATAAGATGAGCCATTTTTTTACTGAAGTAGTTCCCAATGAGAAGGCTCGACATGATTGGTTCATAGAAGGTTTGAGGCCAAAGTTGAAAGAGATGATGTTGGCTTTAAACTTGCCTAGTTTGCAAGAAGATATAAACCGACCCAAGGCTATTGAAAGAGCTCAAGATGAGACCTTGGCAGCGGAGCAGAGTATACAGACGGGGAAAATAGTTTAAACACCTTCCACTCCCCATCATGTTAAGAGAGACAAGGGCTCGAGTTCCCAATATACTGATAGAGATGGTTATGTTGCAGCTTCGTAGAAAACTAAACAATCATAATCTTTTACTGCTAGCTCGAGTAGAGCATTTGGAGAAAGAACTCCAAGTCAGACATCTGGTAAATTGCACTGTGGAGTATGCATACTTCTTAGTGGAGCTTGTTTCCAATGTGGTGAGACTGGTCACTTCACGTGAAACTATTCTAAGAAATCTGGGGATAATTCAGCACAATATGAAAGATCTATGGTAACCTCTAATAGAAGTAGAGGAATTAGTATATCTAGGGGATAATCTGAATTAATGCAGTGACAAGAGACTCGGGCAGTCGCCATAATTTATAATATTAAGACCAATGAGGATCGGGATGACCCAGAGATCATAACAAGTATATTCCATCTTTTTGGTGAGACTGTATTTGTTTTAGTTAACCCCGGTTCTACACATTCATACGTTAGTACAAAGTTGGTTAGAGCTAGAGAAATTCCTTTAGAACCAAGTTTTAGTGAGATGATAGTAGTAAACCCTATGAGTCACCGTGCGAGAGTAACTCAGGTATATAGAAAATGCCCGATAAATATTTAAGGGATTTTGTTTTCGGAAAACTTAATGGAGTTGCTTTTCGATGAGTTTGAAATCATTTTGGGCATGTATTGATTGTCTCCATATCATGGATGGGTCGATTGTCGCAAGAAACGATTATTTATAAAAGATGTGCAAGGCTCAGAAATCGTAGTGATCGGCGAAAAAGTGAAATCACCATCCAATGCGATATCAACCATGACTGCAAGGAAAATGATGTCAAAAAGATGTATAGCTTTCCTAGCTAATGTGATAGACACTCGAGTACACGAAGCGAGATTAAATGATATCCCAATAGTTAAGGAATTTCCAGAGGTTTCACTAGAAGAATTACCAGGTTTACCTCCAGATCGAGAAGTAGAATTCAAGATTATGGTTTACCCGGGTACCGAACGTGTTTCTATGGCTCCAATAGAGTTAAGAGAATTAAATGCTCAATTGCAAGAGCTACTCGATAAGGGATTTTTGAGACCCAATGTTTCTCCTTGGGGAGCACCTGTGCTGTTTGTGAAAAAGAATGACGGGTCTATGCAATTATCCATAGACTACCGATAGTTAAATAAAGTAACAATAAAGAATAAGTATCCTCTTCCGAGGATTGATGATCTGTTTGATCAATTGAAAGGTGCAACAATGTTCTCTAAGATAGACCTGAGGTCGGGGTACCACTAATTAAAGATAAAAAAGGATGATATTTCAAAGATAACTTTTCGGACTCGGTTTGGACACTACGAATTTGTGGTGATGCCATTTGGATTGACTAATGCTCCTGTAGCATTTATGGACTTGATGAATCGAGTATTCCAACCTTACTTAGATCAATTTGTGGTGGTATTTATATATGATATTTTGGTGTATTTCAAGTCAAGAGAGGAACATAGTCGTGGAAGTAAGTAGTGATATTTAAAGCTTTGATGGATCCCATCCCACCTTCTGGGATCTCATCATCAGTGAGTGTGATATAATTGTTTGCAGCTATATGTCCCATGATTTGATTTATTTTATCTATCGATATTTCCTCAGGGATAAATGTCAGGTTTCACACTTTCAGTAAGGCGTTCTAATGTACCTCTGAATTGATCAATATATTTAATATTGAGATTTTGGCATGCTGCTTGTGAAGCTGCTCTACTATGTTGTATTCACTATGCTTTAGGAACCTCAGAAATTCAAGAGCCTGAGCTTCAGCCACTACCTCATTAATGATTGATGGAGGTTCCTCGTTAAAGATTTTCAGCACTACTACTGCCTTGGCTATCTCTTTCACCTTGTATGCCTCTTTGGACGTCTCGGGTGAGTAACATCTCCCACTCCTCGTAAAGTGGCCTACCTCACTTGCTTCTTCTATGATTGATATCCTTTCCTCCTCCATTATCTCGGAGGATATCGACCCTTCTGATATAGAGACACTTGCAACATAACTCCAAGGAACCTATCGTGTGTCTTTAAATAGGAAAAGAGACGGATTTGTAATCATGACTTTAGGAATAATTGATGATGAGCTCTCATTCCTAGGCTTGACTGTAATGACCACAGGTTTTCTTATTCCTTGCATCATGTTAGAGCTATCCATCATGCAAACATCCATCTTTCTTTTGCTCTCCTCTTGATTAAAGAATTCTATTTCACCCTTGTTCATCATCTCATTAAGCAACTCTCGAAATTCATTGCAAAGTTGAATGTCATGACCATTTCTCGGTGATAAACACAATATGCTCGTCGCCCAATAAATTTCAGCTCGGTATTACCCTTGATCATCCCTTCTTTACATAATTTTTCAAACACCCAGCTGAAACGAGAATTGATTTCTGACACATCCTTCTTCAACCTCCTATTTTTCTCTTTGCAAATCATATTTACTCCTTGCCCCCATGATTGGGAAGGGGATGAGTGTTTACAGATGGGACTTTGAACTATTGATCTCCTGTGTTAATAAGATTTTGCACAATCTTTTTGAATGACAGGAAGTTCTCGATGCCATAGTCAATAATCCCTGAATGATACTCACAGTGGTCGTTGGGATTATACAAATGAGGGTAAGGCGGATGGAGTGGAGTCAACTTATAGGGGCGTACCATGTATGTTTTTAACAGCGAGGCATATATTTCAGAATACGTTACTGGTGCCGACAGTCATTTTCGTCTGATCTTATTATTATTATTATTATTATTATTATTATTATTATTATTATTATATATAATTATATATATTATACTACTATTATTATATATGATATTATTATATATTATTATTATTATTATTAAATAATATTACAAAGCCTAATTTGGGGCCCAATATTACAAATAAAGACTCGAAGGCCCAAATTACAAACATAATCAAGCCTAGATTGATTCAGGCCCAACAACCCAAGCTAGGCCTAAATCCAGTAGACCCGTGAGAAACCCAAATCGGCTGCTAGGGTTTCTCACACAACTCCAGCGCCGTAACTCATCTTCAGCCGTCTGATTGAAGAAGATCTGATGGCCCAGATCTTCCATCAGCTAGGGTTTTCACCCTAGCAACCGCCGCTTCCAGTTCCAAACACCGTCACTGTCACCATCAGATCTCACCAGAGCACTCCAGAAGGCTCCAGAAGATGCACCCCAGCCGTACACATTGCAACCCTAAGAAGGTCACTACCATAAGTCGGTGACTCATTGTGGTTCTCCTCTTTAACCGATCCAAACAGAGCATCATCGAGGGCTATATAAACCCCTATTACCTGCAAAGAAGAGGAAAAGAGACAACAAGTATCTATATATGAAAAGCCGAAACAAAAGCAACAAGAGCAACGGGAAGAGATTTATTTGAAACCAATCATCACAACAAACAAAAAAATAAGAGTCGAAGGGCACTTGCCCTCGTCGAAGCCCAAAAGTCATCGGAAACAAAATTTTACCGAAGGTAAAATCTCATATCCAGGCTGATTAAGAGGTCTTTAGGATAAAAGGGGCTTGGATTTGTATTTATAGGGTTGAGGGCTTTATTTTGGTGGGGTGATGTAAATTCTGGCCACCGTGAATGGTGGTCGGCGGTGGCGGCCGATGGCGATTCTCGGCTACCAGTTGGTGATTGACCTTCGTCCGATAGAGGGTTTATAGAGAGAAGAATAAGAGAAATGTTATACTCTCTCTTAGAGAGAGAAATAAAATGGAGAAATGGGAGAAGAATGGCCTTAATGGTCGGGTTAGGGTGCATTTATACCCTCCCCAAAACTACGTCGTTTTGGGGAGGGGTTTGTGGGTAATTAAGAAACGAGTAAATTACACTCGTGGCACTCTGTCTTTGTAATCTCACAATTCGGTCACGAAATCAGGTTCTTACGTTTTTTAATTTGGTTATTATATTTTATTAATTTGTATTTTAGTCTTTGCTCATGTTTATATATATGTTTAGTATAAATTGCATATTTAGTCCCTTAAATATTAATAGTTTATATCTTAGTCCTGAATTAATTTAGGGTAAATTATGTAATTAGTACACAACTTTAATATTATTTTGAATTAGGATTAATTAATTTTACTATTATATATTTTAGTCACTATTTATTATCATAATATTAATATATTAAGATAATTTTACAATATAGTTCTAATAATATTATAATAGAATTAAAAATATTTATATTATTTAGTAATTATTTATTTTAAGTTATTTGTAATTAAAATTAAATACATATTTATAATTTATTGTAAAGATACTAATTAATAAATACCTGTACCAATTTTTGTGCATTGTGGGGGTGCTAACCCTTCCCCATACGTAGCCGACTCTCGAACTTATTTTTCTGGTAAGCAGATCTGAGTTGTATTATTTTAATATTATTCTTAGGAATTTTATTAGAATAATATGACATTTTGGTGACCAATCTCATCAAATAAAAAGATTGGTGGCGACTCTACAACTTGGTGTTTCATCTGATTCATGGAGGATAAACACTTACTTTTTCGAGACTAGTTACACCGTTTGGGGTGTACTATTTGCACTCTCCATCGCCGGGCAGAGAAACATCTCAACAGCTTGGCGACTCCGCTGGGGGATTTAAAAGAGAGTCCAACCACCAATTTATTAATTATTTATCTTTGCAGTAAATAATAAATTTGTTTTAATTTTGTTATAATTATTTTTATTATTTTACTAACTTTTTGTTTTTTATGTGTACATATTTATTAAAGTATTTAGAATAGAATAATATGTTGTATTTTACGCTTATCTCACCCACTGTGCATTGCATTCATGAAATGAGCTAAAACCCCACTCTTATCCTATTTAAGTGAATGAAAAACTACTCCCACGTGTGGTTTTCACCTCCGTATGGGATTGGGGACCATTCTTTGAGCTCACACCTTATGTTCCTCGTGTGGTTTTAACCTTCGTATGGACATAAGGAAGTGTGTTCATTCGAATTGAACTTAATTTGAAAGTCTGTAATGGATCATGATTGAGGGCTTGGTAGTCCAAGGGGACACCAACAAAGGACAATGAATTGACCCTTTTACCTTAGAGCCAAAACCCAACATATAGTAAAACATAGAACTGGATTCTAGGTGGAATCCAACCCAAATGAGTCTTGAAAGGTTATCACACAAGGAAAAGTATGTCGAGTCTTTTATTTTTTTATTTATTTTCTGAATAAATGCATACGAACTAGAAATCATGCAGTTAGGTTTATTTTCAAACAAAGCATGAAACTAGAAAGCATGGAACTAGAAAGAATGGGGATAGGATTTTTTATGTATATACATTTTATTTACTCTAACTTGTTTATAATAATCTCTTTTGCTTGTATTGCATAATCATGACATAATCAGAAGG